AGTTCCGCTTTTTGTAAAGTTTTTGATATTAAAAAAAAACAATTTTTATTAGCGAATCTTAAAGTCTATTTCAACAGTTTAACGGCAAATCGAAATCGCGAAAATTAGTGTAAACTGAACAAAAGGTGCAAAGGACCAACATTGCCTAAGTTTGCAAACCTGGACGAGGACCACATCGTCAAATCCAGCTAGTTTAGGAACCTGGACGAGGACCACATCGCCAAATCCAGCTAGTTTTAAGAAATTCAGGGAGAACATACAGCATCGCTTGACCCCGTTGATATGACGAAAATAATCCTAGGAATTGCGTAAAAGATTTTGCTCTCCTTTTATTTTAAACATTTTATTTTTTGAGTTGAATTTATTAGTGATTTTCAATTTTCATTTTTGGGATAAAATAATTCATTGAGAAAATTTATTATATTTTATGTCTAAGATAGACAAATTAGTGAATATTTTTAATAGTACTCTTGGAACAGATTCCTCATTGAATTTAGATAATTTACCTCCTATAAAAGAATCAGATTCAGTAAGTTCAGATTCGAATATTTCAGATAAAACTAATTATCCACTTTTGCAATTATAGGTAGACACTATTTCAAAATTTTGATGGGAACCCCCATATATTACCTGTATTTTTAGATGCTTGTGAAAGCTTGATTGGACAATTTTCTGATCGGCAAAATAATGCAGCTACAATTAATGCTTATATTTTAAGAGCTATTATTGGCAATTTAACCGGCAGAGCTTTGAGTTTAATAGGCTCCCGTAGTGAATTAACTATTTACAAACAAAATTCTCAATATAAAAATAAAAGACAATAAATTTTTAGGTCCTTATACATTAACAAAATTACTAGATACAAATAAAGCAGAAATTACTAATCAACAAAATAATAAACCAGAAATAATTCACATTAAAAAACTTAAAACATTTTTCGCAACTTCACAAACTACAAACTGACTCAAACAACATTCCATAATATTACCGACAATCTTGGAATTTTAACTGTTAAATTAGGAAAGACTCAAAACATAATTGACTACTGGTCATTTGTAAGAATTTTCGACATTTCCAAAGTAATAGACGAATTTAAGTCACTACAACACACATTTTCCGATCTACAAACGATAACAAAAAATAAACTTATAAACCAGACCAAATCAGATTCTGAGGACATCTTTGATACATTTCAAATAGTAACCATATTAGAAAATAAAATTATTAACCAAATTAATCAATTAAACCCATCACTTGAACAAACCCATTAAATCAGTATCTGAAAATTTAGATCAAAACAACGCCGAAAAATATGACAAAGCCATAGAAAATCTTTCGAAAAATAAAAATAAGATTAAAAATCCTTAATTAATGAACAAATTACCTTATTTGAAAATTCTTTAGACATATTTAATAAAAGTAGTCAAGTCTTAGCTCACAATCAACTAAAATTAAAATCTCAAATAAACAAAGAATGATAATATTATTTACTATATTTTTATATATTTATGTAACAAATTATTTGCTATTATTAGGGAAGAACATCTTGAATTGCTCTGCAGATTATCATTAAGATATTATGTTTTCCAGCTTATTTGAGTAATGAATTGAAAAACATTTTATACCGAATTTTCCATCATATGAAGTAAGGTTGTTGTCTTGGATAATGCCTTATATCATTTCAGCAAATAAATAAAATACCAAAACTGGAGGAAGCTCACAAAGAGATTTTATGTTCATTTATAAATAGTATGCCACATATTAAGAAAATTGTAAACGTACATCATGTAAGGAATATTAAAAAAATAAAATAAAACTGTAACTCTAACTTTTATTTACAGTAAAATATAAGGAAAAGATAACATCTCAAAGTCAATGTCACAACTAAGTTGACTGTCGGCGGCCCTTTTCTATATCTGCTCTTTTTCTACTAATATAATGCAACGCTTGTTGCGGTATCAGCCAAGGGACTACTTTAACTTTGCTGTGACACAGACTTAAAGATATTCTCTGGTCCTTATATTTTATTTTAAATTGAAACATTTAAATTTTTTTCTCTTTATTTGTATTTTTGAATTGTCTGTCTTTATTCGTAAATTTGTTTACAATAATGAATGAATTATTTAACGAGACAAAACCACATTCGTTATTTGCCCCTGATCAGGGGAAAGTAACTTATTGTTCGCCAAATTTTGGGTCTAAGAATGTATACCAAATTATAAAGGCATGTAGTAATATTGAGTAATTTAAATTGCATCTTAACCCTCAACTGGTATGGTGATTTCCGGGCCTCACAACTGGTATTGTTGGGTCAACCTTGACCCAGCCCTAATTTAAGAGTGGGGTCGGGACTTTTGTTTGACTAACTGTATTTTTAATTATTGATTGAAGAAACCAAACTCACAAATGAAGCAAACACAAGTTTATTCATATTTGTAAATAAATAAAAAGTATAGAAAAAGAAAACATTGCTTACCATTTTAAGCAAAAGTATTTTTCTTTTATCAAAAACACGACTAAAATATGTCGGATTAGAAAAAACTCCTATGATAAAAAACATTGCAGAAATTCCCAACAAAAAATCTAACAAGGGCTTCTCAGTACTAATAAGAAGGTTATAAAATTAATTATTTAAATTCTTACATATATGTACTACAATAATTTTGTTGGTGTAAATGCTGCTTACAAAATGTTTTTTTGCATGTTGTACAATATGTAGAATGTTTTCAGTCTATTGTAGATGGACACTTTATACATCGTCTTCTTTTCAGTGTCGGCTCGTCTTGTTCGACAGTAATATCTGGAATTTTTAGAAATGTTTTGCCGCAACTAAATGTTGATTTTCATATCGTCGCCTCATATGTTCCTCAATTAATAAGGCCCAAATTTTTGTAAAAGATTTTCTCTACAGTTCAATTTTCTAACTGCAAAATTTAACAAAATGTGACTGTTTACAACTTCTATATTCAATAATGCATGAAAATCGCAAGTGAACATCGTCTGGTTCTGCGATTTCATGAAAACACTGCACATTTTTGATCAAGGGAATTTAATAATTTATGGCTTTCTCGTCTGAGACGTCTGGTCAGTATTTGTTGACTTGTCGTGATGTAAGGTCAAAACTAGTAACACGTTTTTATTTTTTGCCGGAACAAAATATACTAGGGAATTATATTGCGTAAATCCAAACATTGACTAATTTACTTCACGCTGTCGATTACCCAAGAATTCTTTAGGAATTTCCCGTTTATTTTTACTAATAGTTTCAACATACGTCAATTTATGTTTTTTTAATTCTTGTAGCAGTTCCAGGGATGTAAACCAGTTGTCGCCTGTCACATTTCTATTACTTCCTGCTATAGGGCTGATCAGCTCCAAAACAGTCAGCGTAGGTATAGAAAGATATCTAGGATTCACAACATTTGTATTTTTGCCAGTATATACGAACGTGTTTAGCAGGTAATGTGTCTTTGAATTACAAAGGCATAACATTTTTAGATCATATCGTTGTGGCTTGCTTTTTATATATACACCGAAGCTACATTTGCCCCTGAATCTCACCAACATCTCATCAATTGGCACGTAACTATAGCTATTGTAATAAGTTTTACAGTTTTCTATAAAGTTCTAGAAAATTTCTGATATTGGGGCTAACTTATCACCACCAGCTTTTGTAATTTCTCTTTATCAGGATAATCGAAGCGTAAAACCGAAAGTAGAAAAAAGAATCATTTAAAAAAATGTCTCGTCCCGTGCCATCAGTAGCCCACTCGGTAGCCCATAAGTTTTCTGCATCTTTGTGGACCGATTTAAAAATCCCAGATAAATACGAAAGGTCCAACAAGGCTTTTATTTCAATTTTTTCTGTATGTCCTACGAAAGTAGAAGTATCTCCATACTTGTGAGATTCGTCGAATATTTTATGATTAGTCTGCTCTATAATTATATCAAGTATCCTATCGGTCACTAAGAGAGACCATGCTTCATAAGGTGTGGTGCATTTGTCATCAGCAGAAGGCCATTTTAACCACGGAAGTTAAAGAATTATATTTTCAGCTCTTGTTCTACTACTTGAAGATTGATTCTTGGACCACTTATATCTATTTTTACCATAAAAGTATTCCCCTTCATCATCGTCACTGGCGGTGGTTGCGGATGTTCATATTTGTCATTATATCATCTTCATATTCTGATTTTGTATCGATCTCACTTTTACAGTTATTCTCAATTTTATCGCTAAAATTACTGTCACTTTCTTGAAATTCATTTTGCAAGGGTGCCTCATTATTACTGAAGTAAAATAGATTATTTACAATTCAGCCTCAGTAAGAGAACGATTTATTTTGAACCAAAATATACTATTTCAATCAACCAACATAACAGGTATCGTTAGGTCAAATTTGACCAGAAAGGTGTGTATCGGTCAAAGACCAAACGGCAACTGACGACTGACGGGTGATTGATGTACATGCAAGTAAGCCACACGCTCGAGGATTACCTATAGTCCCAAAAATGTATTTCGTTTAATTGCTTAAATACAAGCGCTTAAAAACGCTGTGGGTCAAAATTGACCCAAAAATACCAGTTTAGAGTTAAAAAATTCCTAGTCATAAATGCTTTTTATATTTTGCATTATGAAGACAATATATTATTTTATTTTTTAAAAACATGACATTCAGTTGTAGATAGTTGCTTTTTTCTTTTGATATTCCAATACAATAAATTGTCTTATAGAAATGTAAATATAAATAAATAAATAATAAAAAAATATAAATTGCCTGTTCACATTTTTTTTACAATTATTTTGTTTTTATATTTTCCGAATAAATACTATTATTAATTATTAAAAATTGTAAATTAAGCTGTAACGGAAGGAAAACATGTTCTACCTAAACAGTTAATTATCTAAATTATTCATTTATCTGAGTTAAACCACTACATCTCACCACTCTGTATATGATGTAATACAATAAATTTGTCTGAACCAATTTATTTTTTAGTGTTCCAGGATGTTCACGTAATGATATTTATTGGATTTGGATATTTAATGACATTTTTAAAGCGTTATGGATTTAGCAGTGTCGGATTTACATTATTATTAGGAGCTTTTATAATTCAGTGGGCTCTGCTGTGCCAGGGATTCTTCGAACTCAATGCAGACAACAAAATTGAAATAGGAATTGAAAGGTAAGCGAAAACTTTTACCATTCAAGTATATTCTGTTATTGAGTTTTATATAAGAATTTGTTCTAGTGATAAAATGATATCGATTACGTATTATTTTATTTTAAACTTTATTATACTTAAAATGAAATCAAACTAAAATCTTTATTTGTACTAGTTAATAATTCTGAGGTACCACTAATTGCACAATACAAAATAATAATATTAAATTTTCAGATATCGATTAATGTTATCTAGAATTTTTAAAGCTATGGGGGATATAAAACTAAAATTTTCATATGATCCAGACAAAGTAATATCTGTTCAACACTTGTGTTTAGTCTCTTCAACATTCCTATGGACAGTCAAGAGCTTATTTGTCCCATTTACATATAAAACTGGTCTAAAAGAAAATGCATAAATTTTCATACCTTAAGTGTGAGTGAGCATATTATTTCTGTTACAGGATATTTTCCCTATGAGTATTTTATTTTATTCTGTTTTCCAAAAATAGGAAAAAACTATTTGTTACTTATTTGTCTATAGTAAATAGTCCAAAAATGGTTCAACAATTACGATCGATCAGTATAGTTTCGGCTTCTTTAATATTTTTCCATATTCTATATTTTCTCTATTTTTTATATTCTTCGTTATTCTTTGATATTTTTTGACATTCTCCGATATTCTTCGATATTCTTCGATATTTTTCGATATTCTTCGATATTCTTCGATATTCTTCGATATTCTTCGATATTCTTCGATATTCTTCGATATTCTTCGATATTTTTCGATATTCTTCGATATTCTTCGATATTCTTCGATATTCTTCGATATTCTTTGATATTCTTCGATATTCTTTGATATTCTTCGATATTCTTCGATATTCTTCGATATTCTTCGATATTCTTCGATATTCTTCGATATTCTTCGATATTCTTCGATATTCTTCGATATTCTTCGATATTCTTCGATATTCTTCGATATTCTTCGATATTCTTCGATATTTTTCGATATTCTTTGATATTCTTCGATATTCTTCGATATTCTTCGATATTCTTCGATATTCTTCGATATTCTTCGATATTCTTCGATATTCTTCGATATTCTTCGATATTCTTTGATATTCTTCGATATTCTTCGATATTCTTCGATATTCTTCGATATTTTTCGATATTCTTCGATATTTTTCGATATTCTTCGATATTCTTCGATATTCTTCGATATTCTTCGATATTCTTCGATATTCTTCGATATTCTTCGATATTCTTCGATATTCTTCGATATTCTTCGATATTCTTCGATATTCTTCGATATTCTTTGATATTCTTCGATATTCTTCGATATTCTTCGATATTCTTCGATATTCTTCGATATTCTTCGATATTCTTCGATATTCTTCGATATTCTTCGATATTCTTCGATATTCTTCGATATTCTTCGATATTCTTCGATATTCTTCGATATTCTTCGATATTCTTCGATATTCTTCGATATTCTTCGATATTCTTCGATATTCTTCGATATTCTTCGATATTCTTCGATATTCTTCGATAATCTTCGATATTCTTCGATATTCTTCGATATTCTTCGATATTCTTCGATATTCTTCGATATTCTTCGATATTCTTCGATATTCTTCGATATTCTTCGATATTCTTCGATATTCTTCGATATTTTTCGATATTTTTCGATATTCTTCGATATTCTTCGATATTCTTCGATATTCTTCGATATTCTTCGATATTCTTCGATATTCTTCGATATTCTTCGATATTCTTCGATATTCTTCGATATTCTTCGATATTCTTCGATATTCTTCGATATTCTTCGATATTCTTCGATATTCTTCGATATTCTTCGATATTCTTCGATATTCTTCGATATTCTTCGATATTCTTTGATATTCTTCGATATTCTTCGATATTCTTCGATATTCTTCGATATTCTTCGATATTCTTCGATATTCTTCGATATTCTTCGATATTCTTTGATATTCTTCGATATTCTTCGATATTTTTCGATATTCTTCGATATTCTTCGATATTCTTCGATATTCTTCGATATTCTTCGATATTCTTCGATATTCTTCGATATTCTTCGATATTCTTCGATATTCTTCGATATTCTTCGATATTCTTCGATATTCTTCGATATTCTTCGATATTCTTCGATATTCTTCGATATTCTTCGATATTCTTCGATATTCTTCGATATTCTTCGATATTCTTCGATATTCTTCGATATTTTTCGATATTCTTCAATATTCTTAGATATTATTCGATATTCTTTGATATTCTTTGATATTCTTTGATATTCTTTGATATTCTTTGATATTCTTTGATATTCTTTGATATTCTTTAATATTCTTCGATATTTTTCGATATTCTTTGATATTTTTCCATATTCTAGCCTAGCAACCAATTTGGTTTAACTGATAAGAGTTTAGCTACTGTTGTCAATATATAATTAAAGGATTAAGACTGTACTGTCACCAGCCAAAGGATCCTGGAGTCCAGAAGAAACATCCAATCAGCAGTGGTATATAAAAATAAAAACAAATAAAACTAAAAATCAAAATTATTCCTTATTTGCATAGTCGAGAGGCTTTGGCAACTAGTTATCGTCTTTTAGTCTTTAAGCGATGGAAACATCAAGCCTTTGCAAATACTCGGAATATTTCATAACTAGTTTGGAAATGGGAGTAAAGAATAATAATAAGTATCAAAACACTAACAAATGTATATTTAAAATAACTACAAAATAACTAACAGTCTCAACTGTGACAGGCGTCCGGTTTCATCTACAGTAAATCGGGAAGTATGTATGGCGCTAAGTTGGTGAATAAGGGCTGCTCGGGCGCCAGTTTTGTTAACACAGTTTGCTCTACGACCCTGTAGTATACTATAGTGTACTCAAGATAAACTCAGTGGAGTTAAAAATACCTCCAGGCGGTCACTGCTAACGAAATAGCCACCAAATTGAGATGAAAGACACTTATCTCCCTTAGACTTCATACCGTACGGTACCCTAAAATAAAACGGTTAAGAGTCGGTGGTAAAAGAAACACAGGGATTATTAACAATATATAGTTACAAAAAAAATACCTCGGGTGCATTATGGTACACAGAAAACAAATTTTCAATACCAAATGTTTATTAAAAACCACGATTTAACAAGACAGGTAGATATTTGAAACAGGCACTTACAATCCTCCCAATATAAGGAAATAAAATTATTAATTAAATAAATTTAATTAAATACAAGGGTTGAGTAATACAAGAAAAATAAATAAATGGAAATTTATAATTCTCACTGTATACAGAAAATAAATTCTCAACAACATCTCCTGCAGACTGTCAATGACTGGACAAAAGCCTTAGATGCTGGTCTTCCTACAGATGTTATATACTTGGATTTTTCTAAAGCGTATGATAGAGTTCCAAAGCACCGACTTCTCAAAAAGTTTGAACACCTAGGAATCCGGGGCAACTTAATATCTTGGGTAACGGACTTCTTAACCTCCAGACAATTTCGCGTAAGAGTTGGTAATAGTGTCTCCCAGACTAAATCTGTTGTCCGTGGAGTGCCTCAAGGATCAGTCCTTGGTCCTCTACTTTTTCTATTATATATTGTCGATATTTCTGTGCACATAAAAAGCTGTTGCTCCTTCTACGCAGACGAAACAAAAATCTACGCTAATCCATCAATCTATCAGTCTCTTCAATCTGATCTAAGTGTGATATCAAAGTGGAGTTCAGACTGGTTATTACCGCTAAATGTTGATAAATGTGTTGTTTTTCATATCGGTAAAAGGAATCCTAAATTAGTGTATAATATTAATAATAATGCCTTAAAGACATTATCATCTCAAAATAATCTCGGCGTTATCATTACTAAGACAAAGAAAAACACCAAATTTTAAACTTAAGCTTTATTCCAGCGTCCAATGAATTGATTAGATTTTGGACAGAGTCGGAACATCTGAGGGGGTACTTTATAGGTGGTCATTTTTATATTTTATAGAATATATCTGTTATTTACGTTTGGAGAAGAAAATTTCTTTAACAAAAGTTACTTCTAATACGATTATCTATAATTTTTGTTCATTACATAATTTTCCTAAAATGGTCCGTATTCGAGAAATTTGATAAAGTGTAAAAAACATATTTTTTTATAAAAATTGTTTAAAAAAGTTGTTTGTAATATAATTCTCTATAATTTTGAACAAAGTCGGAACATCTGGGGGGTACTTTGTGGGAGGCCGTTTCTGTATTTTATGGAATATATCTGTTATTTACGTTTGGAGATAATTTTTGCCTTATGTCAAAATTTTCTGAAATGGTCCGTATTCGAGAAATTTGATAAAATGTGTACAATTCTGATTTTTAAGAAAATTTTTAAACTAAAAGTTGTTTGCGATATCGATCTCTATAATTTTTGTTTTTACATGATTTTTCTAAAATGAACCGTAATGGAAAAATTGGAGGAAAAGTGCTAAATTTAAATTTTTCAGTAATTTCGTTTTCAATGAATATCTATAGAAAAATGTTTCGAGGTAGATGTATGTGGAAAATGTATATATTTAGTTTATCCTCTAAACATTTATAGAGGTGCTGCAATAGGCTGTACAAAATAACCGGAAAAAGCCTATAATAACTAGATAGAAAAGTTCATGTGTTGGACACATCAGATTTTTTTTTTATTGTAACTAGTCATGTGCAAAACATACAGCCTCTTTTGTTTCCAGGACATACTCCAAAATTTCTCAAAAATAGTTTGCCGAATTTCTTCCAACAGTAGGTGGCAGAAACGATTTGCTGCTTTTTTACAAAAATTTGAATTACATTTAGGTCCGAGCCTTCTTTTGTTTATTTTTTTATATCATGTTTAATCGTCCCGTCTTGTGTATCCAATGTACTCATTTCCCATCATTCTTTTTCTTTTATTAACATTTTTATCCCTTAATGCGCTATTGCCTTTTTTCTGTTTTTCCTTTTCAGTTATTCTCGTATCTGTAATAACTTCTACATATAGCTTTTCGTTTTCTGTATTTTTTTGGTGGTGAACGTTATCTTCGGACCGTACCAAACTGTCATTTCTCTCGTGTAATAATTCATTGGTATTATTTAGGTCGATTATGTGCACAGTGTCAGACATTAAAGCATCAGCGAAAACTGAATTGTTTTCATCTTGGTTAATGATTTCTAGTTCGTATTCTAGTTCGTAGGGAACGTCGTCAATCATATCATTAATATTTATTGTTGAATTTATTAATTTGGGTTCATTAATATTAGTTGCTGGTTCTTTTAAAGCCATGTTCATTATTTTTGCTATTCTATTAGAGATCTGAAAAAAATAACCTGTATAAATAAAATGCCAATAATACCTTCCTATAACAAACTTCACAGTAAATTCCGCAAAAAAATGTTACGAAAGGATTCAAACCGTAGACATGGCCTAGGCGTCCAAGTGTTACACCACCGGTCATCAAATCTCTAATTAATTGGTGCATATTGATTTATTTACTGCTTATTTTTGAAAATATAAAAAGAAAAATAGATACTGTGAACAAATAAATTTTATACATTAAAATTTCCTCGGATAGATCAGTACACCTACCTAGTTCTAATACGATGTAACCCACAACACGAATTTGAGATTTACGTCGTATTAAGCAGTCGAATAGTTTTAAAAATATGTCGTATTCAACATGTTATTCGAAATTACAATATGACGTATATGACCTGATTATTTCTAGTGCAGTTTGTTTACTATAATTTTACATTCCAAAAAAATTAACATACTTAAAGAAACTAATAGACACTAAAATATAACTAATGTTCGACATCTTGATAAAACAGACACTTTAAATACAGTTTTTGGATATTTTAATTGCAACATACTGGAACTTACAAGAGTCACTTAATCAAACCATAGGGAAACTGTGGTATAGACCTATTCGAAAGAGCAAAAATCAGCTGTTTTTTTACTACATATTAGAAATGGCACTAAAAAATTATTTTCAGTTTAATGTTTCTTACGATATGTTGTGGAATACGTTCTATTAGAATATTGGTATCGATATGGTAACCTAACACTCGCTTCACTCACATGTTGTGTCTTCTTTGCTTGGTTGGCCGTAACTACCCTTTACTCTCGGCATCATCTTCTGATCCTTAACCTTCTTCGACTAATCTCTACTCGATCTGGTTTGGTCCTTGGGCTGCTGTACCATGTAACCCTTTTTGGCTAAGGTTACGGGTTCTTTCCGCTGCGGTAGTCTACCCATTTTACTAATAGACTGCGGTTTTGGACCCTCTGGTTCACTACGGCTTTGGACTGCTTCCCTGGCTAGCTACTGTGAGTCTGCCTCTGTACATGGCTGCTGTACTTGTATGCTACTGGCAGATCACTATTGACTGACTACTGAGAATTGCCCCTGTCATTGAACCTTAGTCCATTCCTCCGAGCAATTACTAATAGAGGGAGCGTGAAAACGAGTTTGTAGGCGATTGTTGTGTTAGCAACATCTGTAGAGGAAGTGAGGAAGCGGGCACAAGGGGGAAGGTAAACATCCTTCTTGTTCAGTGGCGTATCATTTATCTATAAAAACACACATTGTCCAAACGTTTTAATTGTAAAAAAAAACTAAAAAATTTGCTAATTTTACTATATTTAAAAATAATACCGTCTTATATGTGTCTAATGCAGGAAATTAAACAAAATCACTGTAACGGTCTAATTTTTTCAATTGAAGAATAAAACCTTAAAATCAATTTTATTATAAATAAATACAGTAGCGACTAGTTTCGGCCTTACAGAAACATCTTCAGGCCTGTATACAATAATCTTTAATTATTATAATAGGTTGGTCACTTACGAATAACATTAAATAGTATAAACCACAAAAATGGATCCATATTGTAGCGTTACAGCATTATAAAATTAAAGCTGTGAAAATAAAAGAGCAGTGCATACGTAACTAAAAATAAGAAAACTGAGTACGGAATCTACAAGAGATGAGAATGAGCAATTACGAATGCATTTAAATTGCTCGGGATAACAAATAAAGCTGATAATGTAGTGGTATAGTCCCCGTCAAAGAAGGTCTAGATATGTTAAAGAGGACGGCGTTTTCTCTGTAAATCTGGAGAATGTAAGGATGAAGGGAAGACGAATCTTGCTGGCTTAGGTGTAGATGAAAGCTCCAGTAAATATCGTCACTTTCGTCTAATTTTTTATTCTCTCTCACCGTCACCGTTTCGGCTTTATCTTCGAAATTCATTTTTAAAAGGAAATAAAAGTAATCATTCATACAAGCATATAATAAAACAATATGAATTAATTATATTTAATAAGCTAATAAACGTTTGTTTCAATGAAAAAAAAAAAACATATATGGGAATATAAGAAATATATAAATAGATAAGATTAATATCAAAATCAATTTGAAAATACAACAGATAATGAAATGAAATAAATTAATACAAGTACAAATGGAAAGTTAATAACATACCTTCTAAAAGTAACACATTTTAAGTAGATATATGTTTAAAGAGTTTATTCCTGAACATAACTAATCTAACGTTTTTTCCTCTTTTTAATATTATGAGGGTTTTTGTAGTTGAAATGAAAATTATAATTTATTTTGGTCCTAATAAAAATTTAAACATAGGTTATCAAAGAGTAAAATACATAATAAAACTTCATAATCTTAAATCGTTATCAAAAATTATTAATGGTAAAACTTCAAACAATAATTAGATTCTTAAACAAATTTTTAGTTTTTTGCCTTCATCGGTTGTCTCTGCCACTTTTCTTTTAGTAGTTTCGAGGAGAATTTTCCTATGGAATCTAGTAGAACCATCAATTGATTGGTAAAATTTTGATATTTTGAGTCTTGTTAAATTTTCTTCTTAGGAAGCTGTAACCTAATGGAGAACAAAAATTTATTGTTAGATCAAAAGCTCTTAATTGAGAATTATATTTGCAAAGGCCGTTTTAATAATATATTAAAAAGTTCTTGGAATCGTTGTTAACAGAAACCTGCAAAAAATATATATCATTTTATTCTTAAAATATAAGATATCACACAATGCACATTCATATAATATCATTGTGCTAGAAAAATACTAGGTAGGTACGGAGACAATTTAAAAAAAGTATTTCGAGAAACTCAATTTTTAATGTCATCATTGTACTTAACTTTTTTATTGCTAAATTATTAATAATGTCGTTTTGTGTAGTTCGTTGTGATTTGTATAATATATATTATAAAAACCTATCGTCAAAGTTAATGTGCCAAGTTTTTTTAATAATTATGTCCTTGTTATAGTAAAAACACATTTTTAAAGTTTTCTGGATTTATGCTTTAAATTATTGTATAATTGAACTGACTAAGTATTTAAGTAAAGGTATATCTCTTTTTTGTTATAACAGTCTTTGTATATTGTTCTAACTTTTTAGATAATCAGAGAAAACAGTAAGACATCTTAATATATCCTATTTCACCACCAAAAATGTAGAATAATTAATCTCATATCAAACGAAAAAAGTCATTTTAGGATGTCCTAATAGGTTTCAACTTAAAAACTAAATAAAATGTATATTGCAACTGTGTTTAAATAAATGAATGTTTTTATACCTGACTATAGTACCAGACAAACATTTTTTTAGATCATAATGATCTGCATAACTCAAAATAGTCAAAATCCACATTATTTAAGTTGTTCTAGTATTGTTTTAGCATAACGATGTAAACTCCAATAATAAATATTCACATTTTTTTGGGACGTTTTTTAAGGAAATTAAAAAACATGAATAATGTGATATTCTTGTTTAGTATTGTACTATATAATATAGTTCATTAGGCAGTGATTTAGAAGCAAATTATGTTCTATTTATAGAATAAAAAATCACTCATAATATCTAAATATTTATACCTATTATATTTTGGACAGGAAGACTATGTTATGTTCCTGGCTCTCAACAGTTTTCTTAAGAATTTTAAAACCTTCCTTAGCTCTTTTGGGATATTCCATGCATATCTTAGAAGTTCATTTTGTTTAAACCTAAAACAAATTAAGTACAAAAAATTAAAATTTAAACAATACACAAAATTAGTCTTTTAGATTATTTAAAAAAAAAATGTCAACAAAAAAATGGCTATGCCTTTTTCCTTAAACTTACTTGCTGTTTTAGTATTTTAGTAGCAGATAAATATAGTGTAGAAGTAGTGGCAGGATTGATTATTATACTTCTTTCGTCGAAATTGCATTTTTCTTTAATATTTTCCTCCCCTGAGGTCTATAATAAAAATGTTCATTAGCATAAAAAGTTATTCAGGTGGTCACTTGTTGAATTCCTATATTTTGGAACCATGTATTTCTTTCTCATATCAAGAAAAGGAAACCTAAAAAAATAACAATAAACTTTACAAAGATGTGATATTAAAATAATAAGTAATTAACCTTTACTATAATCATTATGAGACAGACGGATGAAGACGAACTTAGCTGGAGTTTACTTGCCCTTAATTTTAATTTTTCGATAAGCAAATAAGAAAGTTTAATTGCAAATTAAAGGTGATTGCCTAATGCACCGCCTCTGATAATTAGGTTGTGTCTGTACTTACTTATGACTTTATCTTGAAGAAGCATTTTCAACAGGCCTTTTACACATAACGCATGTTTTTACCATATTATTAGAGGTAATAAATCTTAAATATACATTTACAACCCTTACAACGTTATAAATAATAATATTTTCCGTAAAATACAAATAAGAAATTGACATGTGTCAGAAAGTGTCAGAACTGGCGCTCACAGAACACTTCTGGCGCTGTCAAACTTGGCAACGCTGATTAAATAAGCCAATTACAGAAGAGGTATTTTCCCCCTCGGGGGAGTAGATGTTGCTAACAAAATTTAGCGCGGGGAAGGGGGGAAGACTCCCTCTAGTAGTAATTGCTCGGAGGTCCATTCCATGTAGATTATCTGTGAATTTGGCTCCCACAGACTTAACTGGACCCAACTTCATGTCAAGCTCACTTTGTCGTATGTCTCATGCCTTTTGAGAACTTGGTGATATTGGTTGATTTTTTTTAGATTTTGGATTTGGATGTTTCGTTCTCTTTGTAGCCTTGGGTTCTGGAGTCCTGAAATTCGGCCCATTTCTGCTATAGAGCGTGGAACCCTGCATTGCCTTGGTACGGTCCTGGATTTAGATAACTGTCACGATTTGAATAAGGATAATTTTCTGACTGTAGTAGAATTTTATATATATAAAAAGTTCTTTGGTTTATTCGGACAAAAGTTTTTATTTTTTATAATTTTAACCCTACATAGGTTTCGGATTTTTTTCAATATTTATAATAATATTTAGAAAATAATGGGGGACGAATACAAACAGTTTAATTTTTTTTTTTAAATAATAGGAAGCCCATCTTTCTGTTTTACAGCGTGTGAAGGTGTATTTCGATTTTCTTTGATTTTTTTATTTTCTGAGATTTTCTTCGATAATCTTTGATAAAAGGAGAGGCCACAAGCAGCCAAATTAAGGCAGAGAGGAACTTATGGGATTATAACAGAACCGGGCTGGTCGTAAATGGTATGCATGACATTACAAAATGCTACTGAGAGAGTAATGCCTATTTTTATTTAAACATAATAAAAAACTATCCCGTAACATTTTTGAGTGCCTGTATATCTAATTGAAATAATAATAAACTCTTAAATTACTTGCTTAATTTAAAAAAATATATATCAACTAGTATTAGCAGATAGCCTAATAAATAATTAATGGTAATTGTTAAGGTATAATCTGCTTCTGGTTTGTCAAGGATTTTATGTTTTGTTGGCTAGTGACAGTTAAAAATATAAAGTCGAAGTTGATAATTAACGAGTTTTACTTTTTACTTATCCTCTTAACTACGCTATTTCAAATCATTTATCATATAGCTGTTAATTGTTAGTAAACTGGATAGAAAAAGAAATTAGTCGTATTAGGAATACCCGCACAATAAAACATGTCTAATTATAATATTGCAGAACAAAACAAATATTCCGGTCTCTTAATTATTGTAGTATAATTTAAGTACTGAAATAGGTTAACTATTATAAATTAGGAAATATTTTTAAAAATTAGTCATTTAAGAACATAAACATATTTAAATTAAAACGATTTTAAATTTAAAGCCGAGTGATCAGTTATTTTTATAGATTTATGAATTGATAAAATTTGCAAAATCTTATAAGATCGCAACTTTATCAAAAAGAAAAAAATATTTGTAGGTGAAACTATGTTCACCCGGTGATCGATATTCAAATAATCAATATTGAAAATTTGAGGAAAATATATATTATTATGCATTTGCATGTTTTTAACGTTTTTTTTAATTCCTATACATTCGTTCATCTGCGACCATAAACTTTAATGTGTACTTACAACATAGTTCAATACCATTATAATTAAATAAAAAATAAATTTAATAAAATAACAGCAACAACTTATAATTTAAAAACCCTCAGTTTTTGATATGATATGACACAAAATTTTTATTTTAAGGTAACTCTTAAAGCCCCTTAAAAAGAGGGTTGGAGGTAAGTAACTTCCATCGCTCTTCTATATCCAACCTCAGCTTGCATCCTATCATAAACCGTATCGAAAATAATCATTAACAATCCAGAAAAGGTACAAAAAGAAAAGTGGCGGAAGGAGGTCAGCGTACCTTTCGAATTTTTCAATTTTTTTTATTATCCATACAATCAATATCTCAAAATACCCGAATTTTAAAAAAGATATGCCAACCCACCTGCACTTAGGTGAATTCGCCCTCTTCTCCACCTACATTTAGAGGGGGTAAAGTAACTTGTCCTTTGGAAAAAGATTTTTTTTTGTCTCAAAGTCCAATCCGTCGTACCGGAAGTTTATTTTCCTAAGTCTCTATATATCGCCCTTCCCTGGGGTGGGGGCAAAGAAGTAGGGGTGAGGGAAGTTGAGCAATTAGAAATCATTTTTAGTTTTCTTCTATATCTTACTATTTAAGCGTGACAGGGGAAAGAGGGGGGAAGTTGGAGGGGTAGTGTTGGATTAGGGGGCGTGGGGGCACATTGATACAAAGTAACAAAGCAAAACTACAAGTAGAAAACCTTTTAGCGGTTCTAGTACTCGTTTACAGATGCCAGTCAGATCCATAAATAAGTGTAAATTTCAACGACCGTCGGCAATGTCAGGTTCATTCAGTGCAGGACTTGATCGGTTTTGAGCATTCTGTAGTAATTTCTTAATATCAGCGGTAAAATTTATGGTGGGATTTTTCTTGATAGTGGTTGAGATTGGTGCCCCAGGTAAGTTACAATTCGTACTAAATAAATTTGGATTTATTTTTAATCAGGCTTCTTTTGATTTTGCGTAGCAGTGTGTTTACTGAATACTGGCGGAGCAGGACACATTGATATAAGTATAAAATAAATAAGTATTAAAATACAATTTTTTTTCTAGGAAAAATGATTCTATCGTACAAGTAAAAAACTGATTGAACTAGCATCGATGAAAATGCCCTTAACTCTCCAATAAGAGACGTACTTGAAGTCTGCCAATAAGAAAAGCTGTTGACAAATATAAATAAAAGCAGCCACTTTACAGCACAGAATAGAAAGAAAAAATAAAAGCAGAAAATGAAGAGCATAAAAAATATTAGGTACCGTAAATATTCTTTACATCAGGTGTTTACTGAAGCTCAAGAGGCATAACTTAATGAATATATAATAAAGTGCAGTAAAATGCATTCTGGCTTGACTTTTATCCAGGTGCAAAAGCTTGTGTATTAATTTGCGGCAAAGTTAAGATGTCGACATCCTCCGGCTTGGAATGTCACTAAATCTGCTGGCGTTGATTGGGCAGCAGGATTTCGCAACATTAATAAAAATCTGAGTTTAAGAAAGCCAGAGAATACTAGCGCTGTCAGGTCATTTTCTTTTAATAGGACTGCTGTGTAGAACTTCTACAGGTATCTAGAAATACTTTTCAGATTATATAATTTCACTCCAGACCGAATAGTAAACTTTGATGAGACAGGTATTACTACTGTATTACTACACCCAAAGTTCTGGCAGCAAAAGTTTAAAGACAAGTCGGCCAAATAGTATCTACTGAAAGAGGTGAGCTGATGACATTTGGGGGTTTAATAACGGCTATAGGAAATTCGATTCCACCTATTTTTGTATTTTCTAGAGTTCACTATAAGTGTCATTTTTTATCAGGAGCAAGATGTTTGGGTTTAGCGTCGAGAACTAGTTGGATAAATTATGAGCTTTTTTTGGAGGCGTTGAAACATATTCAGCGGCACATGAATAGCACCAAAGAAAGACCAGTATTATTAGTTTGCGACAACCATGAATCACCATGAATCTCATATTTCGTTTGAAGCAATAAATTATTTACGTGAGAATGGAATAATCTATCTCTATTTCCCTTCCCATATATCTCTCAAGATGCAGTTCTTGGACGTGGCTATTTTTAGCCCGTTTAAAGCAAAGCTGAAAGTATTATTTATTGACTGGCACATAAACCATCCTGGAAAGGCTTTATCAATTTATGATATTCCTGCCCTAGCTAAAATTGCTAACTTATAATCATTTATTGCGAAAAATATAACCCGGTATTTGGCCTTTCAACAAGTTAGCCTTCGCAGAAAAGGATTTTGCTCCTTGCGGCATTTATGTTAGCGAAAATCGATCTGAAACCACATCAAATATGGGTTCTCAAGAGCCTTCCACATCCGCTAGTAACGCCAAGGAACCAGAAAAGTTAGACGAAACCAAGCTTTGGAACAACTGGCACCGATTCTTTCAACACCGCCTCCAATAATCAACGATTATATAGCCAATATTGAAGCCAATATGGAACCTGAACCTGCTGAACCATTACCGTCAGATTTCGTCTTGATCAAATTTGAGAACGGGAATACCGCCTTTATGGGGTACATTGATACGAAATTAATTTTAAAAATATGTGATGAAAAATCGAATTTTGTGCGTGTGACTAGACGTATTCGTGTAGACTAGCTGCTAACTGCTCATAACTGATTCTATCTCTTTTAGACACAATTTTGGAAAACTTGAATTTGAAAATGAATAATGATCCACAAGAATCCACAACAAAATATGGGACCACCATTGACGCAGTATTTTCCAGATATTTAGAGGATATCAAGTCTCAAACTTATGTTTCTTATTTCAGTTACCATAAACGTATTTTAAATAATGAAAATTCCTGAATAACCTACATGTATTGTAAGATAATAAAAATATTTTAAACAATATTAACTTCTCATTTATTTAATAAAAGAAAAAAATTTGTTTTCTTAAAAAGTGTAACTTGATTTAATATCAAAGAAAAAACTTGAATTATTATCAGAGAAAAAAATACTGCATAAATAAAATAAATAAATAATGAAAATTGCATAATTTGATAAAAAATGCTATGCAATTGCTTTACCGCGGCAGTCTCCGAGTGCCACACGTATTTTTTTGTCCTTGCATCATTGTTTTTAATGGAGGTGCGATATAATGATTTTAATTTGTTTTAGACCGTGCCAAATTTTTATTAAAAAATACTGTTTTTTATAAAATTGACAATAAAAAGTTTACTATATGGTACCAACTTGAAAAAAAAAACCTGTATTAAAAATGAATGAAAAACAAAAAGTAAAATAAATGGATAAAACCCCGTTTTTTCGTGGTTTTAATTATTTACTAATTATGGTATATTTAGAACCAACTAAGTGTCATTCTATCTACACCTAACGTATAAACATTTCCCAATAAAAGCACCATTTGAGTCAAATTTTAAAAATAGTCACTTTAGAATAACTCTAAAAATATATAATTATGTCTTGTAATTTTCAGTTTGTACAAGGCTGACATAGCAACTGCTAGTGTATTGATTTCAATGGGTGCTATATTAGGTAGAACATCAATTACACAGTTAATCGTTATGGGATTTATTGAAATTATGGTATTTTCAACCAACTCATATTTAGGAACAAAAATCTTTCAGGTAAACAATATTATCTACTTATTATGTATATAAACTAAGGGTAGTTTATTACTTTTACATGTTAAAATGTCACTTTTGTGCAATTAAAAAATAATAAAGTTTTAAGGTGACAAAAAATTTAATCCAATATTATAACAAATACGAGATCGCACAAGGACGCAAAAGTAAAACGCAGATTACAAAAACTATAATTAAAAAATGGGTGGGGTTGACAATGTGTACAACATTATTGCAGAATAAGAAACAGAATGCGACAAAGAATATGATATTGGTAAATAGTTTCAGACTGATGCCAAGTAATCCTACTGTGTCTCACAAGTAGTATTTCGTATATAAAATCTGTGATCAAGCTCAAGCTCAAGCTCAAGCTCAAGCTCAAGCTCAAGCTCAAGCTCAAGCTCAAGCTCAAGCTCAAGCTCAAGCTCAAGCTCAAGCTCAAGCTCAAGCTCAAGCTCAAGCTCAAGCTCAAGCTCAAGCTCAAGCTCAAGCTCAAGCTCAAGCTCAAGCTCAAGCTCAAGCTCAAGCTCAAGCTCAAGCTCAAGCTCAAGCTCAAGCTCAAGCTCAAGCTCAAGCTCAAGCTCAAGCTCAAGCTCAAGCTCAAGCTCAAGCTCAAGCTCAAGCTCAGCTCAAGCTCAAGCTCAAGCTCAAGCTCAAGCTCAAGCTCAAGCTCAAGCTCAAGCTCAAGCTCAAGCTCAAGCTCAAGCTCAAGCTCAAGCTCAAGCTCAAGCTCAAGCTCAAGCTCAAGCTCAAGCTCAAGCTCAAGCTCAAGCTCAAGCTCAAGCTCAAGCTCAAGCTCAAGCTCAAGCTCAAGCTCAAGCTCAAGCTCAAGCTCAAGCTCAAGCTCAAGCTCAAGCTCAAGCTCAAGCTCAAGCTCAAGCTCAAGCTCAAGCTCAAGCTCAAGCTCAAGCTCAAGCTCAAGCTCAAGCTCAAGCTCAAGCTCAAGCTCAAGCTCAAGCTCAAGCTCAAGCTCAAGCTCAAGCTCAAGCTCAAGCTCAAGCTCAAGCTCAAGCTCAAGCTCAAGCTCAAGCTCAAGCTCAAGCTCAAGCTCAAGCTCAAGCTCAAGCTCAAGCTCAAGCTCAAGCTCAAGCTCAAGCTCAAGCTCAAGCTCAAGCTCAAGCTCAAGCTCAAGCTCAAGCTCAAGCTCAAGCTCAAGCTCAAGCTCAAGCTCAAGCTCAAGCTCAAGCTCAAGCTCAAGCTCAAGCTCAAGCTCAAGCTCAAGCTCAAGCTCAAGCTCAAGCTCAAGCTCAAGCTCAAGCTCAAGCTCAAGCTCAAGCTCAAGCTCAAGCTCAAGCTCAAGCTCAAGCTCAAGCTCAAGCTCAAGCTCAAGCTCAAGCTCAAGCTCAAGCTCAAGCTCAAGCTCAAGCTCAAGCTCAAGCTCAAGCTCAAGCTCAAGCTCAAGCTCAAGCTCAAGCTCAAGCTCAAGCTCAAGCTCAAGCTCAAGCTCAAGCTCAAGCTCAAGCTCAAGCTCAAGCTCAAGCTCAAGCTCAAGCTCAAGCTCAAGCTCAAGCTCAAGCTCAAGCTCAAGCTCAAGCTCAAGCTCAAGCTCAAGCTCAAGCTCAAGCTCAAGCTCAAGCTCAAGCTCAAGCTCAAGCTCAAGCTCAAGCTCAAGCTCAAGCTCAAGCTCAAGCTCAAGCTCAAGCTCAAGCTCAAGCTCAAGCTCAAGCTCAAGCTCAAGCTCAAGCTCAAGCTCAAGCTCAAGCTCAAGCTCAAGCTCAAGCTCAAGCTCAAGCTCAAGCTCAAGCTCAAGCTCAAGCTCAAGCTCAAGCTCAAGCTCAAGCTCAAGCTCAAGCTCAAGCTCAAGCTCAAGCTCAAGCTCAAGCTCAAGCTCAAGCTCAAGCTCAAGCTCAAGCTCAAGCTCAAGCTCAAGCTCAAGCTCAAGCTCAAGCTCAAGCTCAAGCTCAAGCTCAAGCTCAAGCTCAAGCTCAAGCTCAAGCTCAAGCTCAAGCTCAAGCTCAAGCTCAAGCTCAAGCTCAAGCTCAAGCTCAAGCTCAAGCTCAAGCTCAAGCTCAAGCTCAAGCTCAAGCTCAAGCTCAAGCTCAAGCTCAAGCTCAAGCTCAAGCTCAAGCTCAAGCTCAAGCTCAAGCTCAAGCTCAAGCTCAAGCTCAAGCTCAAGCTCAAGCTCAAGCTCAAGCTCAAGCTCAAGCTCAAGCTCAAGCTCAAGCTCAAGCTCAAGCTCAAGCTCAAGCTCAAGCTCAAGCTCAAGCTCAAGCTCAAGCTCAAGCTCAAGCTCAAGCTCAAGCTCAAGCTCAAGCTCAAGCTCAAGCTCAAGCTCAAGCTCAAGCTCAAGCTCAAGCTCAAGCTCAAGCTCAAGCTCAAGCTCAAGCTCAAGCTCAAGCTCAAGCTCAAGCTCAAGCTCAAGCTCAAGCTCAAGCTCAAGCTCAAGCTCAAGCTCAAGCTCAAGCTCAAGCTCAAGCTCAAGCTCTCAAGCTCAAGCTCAAGCTCAAGCTCAAGCTCAAGCTCAAGCTCAAGCTCAAGCTCAAGCTCAAGCTCAAGCTCAAGCTCAAGCTCAAGCTCAAGCTCAAGCTCAAGCTCAAGCTCAAGCTCAAGCTCAAGCTCAAGCTCAAGCTCAAGCTCAAGCTCAAGCTCAAGCTCAAGCTCAAGCTCAAGCTCAAGCTCAAGCTCAAGCTCAAGCTCAAGCTCAAGCTCAAGCTCAAGCTCAAGCTCAAGCTCAAGCTCAAGCTCAAGCTCAAGCTCAAGCTCAAGCTCAAGCTCAAGCTCAAGCTCAAGCTCAAGCTCAAGCTCAAGCTCAAGCTCAAGCTCAAGCTCAAGCTCAAGCTCAAGCTCAAGCTCAAGCTCAAGCTCAAGCTCAAGCTCAAGCTCAAGCTCAAGCTCAAGCTCAAGCTCAAGCTCAAGCTCAAGCTCAAGCTCAAGCTCAAGCTCAAGCTCAAGCTCAAGCTCAAGCTCAAGCTCAAGCTCAAGCTCAAGCTCAAGCTCAAGCTCAAGCTCAAGCTCAAGCTCAAGCTCAAGCTCAAGCTCAAGCTCAAGCTCAAGCTCAAGCTCAAGCTCAAGCTCAAGCTCAAGCTCAAGCTCAAGCTCAAGCTCAAGCTCAAGCTCAAGCTCAAGCTCAAGCTCAAGCTCAAGCTCAAGCTCAAGCTCAAGCTCAAGCTCAAGCTCAAGCTCAAGCTCAAGCTCAAGCTCAAGCTCAAGCTCAAGCTCAAGCTCAAGCTCAAGCTCAAGCTCAAGCTCAAGCTCAAGCTCAAGCTCAAGCTCAAGCTCAAGCTCAAGCTCAAGCTCAAGCTCAAGCTCAAGCTCAAGCTCAAGCTCAAGCTCAAGCTCAAGCTCAAGCTCAAGCTCAAGCTCAAGCTCAAGCTCAAGCTCAAGCTCAAGCTCAAGCTCAAGCTCAAGCTCAAGCTCAAGCTCAAGCTCAAGCTCAAGCTCAAGCTCAAGCTCAAGCTCAAGCTCAAGCTCAAGCTCAAGCTCAAGCTCAAGCTCAAGCTCAAGCTCAAGCTCAAGCTCAAGCTCAAGCTCAAGCTCAAGCTCAAGCTCAAGCTCAAGCTCAAGCTCAAGCTCAAGCTCAAGCTCAAGCTCAAGCTCAAGCTCAAGCTCAAGCTCAAGCTCAAGCTCAAGCTCAAGCTCAAGCTCAAGCTCAAGCTCAAGCTCAAGCTCAAGCTCAAGCTCAAGCTCAAGCTCAAGCTCAAGCTCAAGCTCAAGCTCAAGCTCAAGCTCAAGCTCAAGCTCAAGCTCAAGCTCAAGCTCAAGCTCAAGCTCAAGCTCAAGCTCAAGCTCAAGCTCAAGCTCAAGCTCAAGCTCAAGCTCAAGCTCAAGCTCAAGCTCAAGCTCAAGCTCAAGCTCAAGCTCAAGCTCAAGCTCAAGCTCAAGCTCAAGCTCAAGCTCAAGCTCAAGCTCAAGCTCAAGCTCAAGCTCAAGCTCAAGCTCAAGCTCAAGCTCAAGCTCAAGCTCAAGCTCAAGCTCAAGCTCAAGCTCAAGCTCAAGCTCAAGCTCAAGCTCAAGCTCAAGCTCAAGCTCAAGCTCAAGCTCAAGCTCAAGCTCAAGCTCAAGCTCAAGCTCAAGCTCAAGCTCAAGCTCAAGCTCAAGCTCAAGCTCAAGCTCAAGCTCAAGCTCAAGCTCAAGCTCAAGCTCAAGCTCAAGCTCAAGCTCAAGCTCAAGCTCAAGCTCAAGCTCAAGCTCAAGCTCAAGCTCAAGCTCAAGCTCAAGCTCAAGCTCAAGCTCAAGCTCAAGCTCAAGCTCAAGCTCAAGCTCAAGCTCAAGCTCAAGCTCAAGCTCAAGCTCAAGCTCAAGCTCAAGCTCAAGCTCAAGCTCAAGCTCAAGCTCAAGCTCAAGCTCAAGCTCAAGCTCAAGCTCAAGCTCAAGCTCAAGCTCAAGCTCAAGCTCAAGCTCAAGCTCAAGCTCAAGCTCAAGCTCAAGCTCAAGCTCAAGCTCAAGCTCAAGCTCAAGCTCAAGCTCAAGCTCAAGCTCAAGCTCAAGCTCAAGCTCAAGCTCAAGCTCAAGCTCAAGCTCAAGCTCAAGCTCAAGCTCAAGCTCAAGCTCAAGCTCAAGCTCAAGCTCAAGCTCAAGCTCAAGCTCAAGCTCAAGCTCAAGCTCAAGCTCAAGCTCAAGCTCAAGCTCAAGCTCAAGCTCAAGCTCAAGCTCAAGCTCAAGCTCAAGCTCAAGCTCAAGCTCAAGCTCAAGCTCAAGCTCAAGCTCAAGCTCAAGCTCAAGCTCAAGCTCAAGCTCAAGCTCAAGCTCAAGCTCAAGCTCAAGCTCAAGCTCAAGCTCAAGCTCAAGCTCAAGCTCAAGCTCAAGCTCAAGCTCAAGCTCAAGCTCAAGCTCAAGCTCAAGCTCAAGCTCAAGCTCAAGCTCAAGCTCAAGCTCAAGCTCAAGCTCAAGCTCAAGCTCAAGCTCAAGCTCAAGCTCAAGCTCAAGCTCAAGCTCAAGCTCAAGCTCAAGCTCAAGCTCAAGCTCAAGCTCAAGCTCAAGCTCAAGCTCAAGCTCAAGCTCAAGCTCAAGCTCAAGCTCAAGCTCAAGCTCAAGCTCAAGCTCAAGCTCAAGCTCAAGCTCAA